ACACACATACATACATATATAAACACACATATATATGAGCATATATGTGTTGTGTGTGCATGCATATGTGGAGGACATCAGTCCACAGTAGCCCTAGAGAAAGGGGCTAAAATGTCAAGGGTCAGCAACATGATATTAATGGCCACATAAGTTATCATATGTAATATGGTGGTGAGATGGCTGTTTATAATATGTACAGTGGGTTTATGCAAATCTAGGAGATGTAACCATGGTGTGCATGTTTTTCTTTTTTATCTTGCACTTATCATCAGTGAATTCTGTATTTTATCTTTTCTCCAATTTGCAAAGGTCACTTTGAAATACTGATATTTGCTAAGGCTCATTCAATTTTAGAGCTGGAGAAGGCCCTTACCTAACTGACCAAACTAATTCTTCGGTAAATGAGCGCTTAATTCTGCTACCAGGGGTGGGGAACCTGTGGCCTCAAGGCCACATGTGTTCCTCTAGGTCCTCAAGTTCAACCCTTTGACTGAATCCAAACTTTACAGAACAAATCCTCTTAACAAAAGCACTTGTTCTGTAAAACTTGGCCTCCATCAAAAAGCCACACCTGACAACCTAGAATGCTGCATGTGGCCTTAAGGCCACAGGTTCCCCACCCCTGTTAGGCTTTGCAAAAATGAATGAGACATGGCCCCTGACCTCATTAAGATGACCACCATGTAGTGTAGGGGTTCTTCACCTAGGGTCCTGTCAACTTAAAAAAATTGATAAGTGTATTTCAATGTAATTAGTTTCCTTTATGATACTATGTATTTTATTTTATGCATTTAAAAACATTATTCTGAGAAGAGGCCCACAGGCTTCACCAGATTGCCAAGATCCACAACACACACACACACACACACACACACACACACACACACAAAGAGTTGAGAAATTCCGATAGTAAGCTCTCATTTTCATGGATGAAGACACTGAGGCTCAGCAGTGAGTGACATCAATTCAACAAACATTTATTTAGTGGCTACTAGGTACAAGACACTGTGCTAGGATTTGGGCATACAAAGACAAAAAACAAAACAGTTCTTGCCCTCAAGGAGCTTACATTCTAAAGGACTTAACTAAGACCACACAGCTAGGTATGTAGTTTACTGGCAGAACTGGCACCAGAATCCAGCTCTGAACTAGAACTCCTAGTCCTAGGGTGTTTTTTTTTTGTTTTGTTTTTTTCCACTACAATACTGTAAGCAAGCCTGTTCAACTCATGTTTTTTTCATGGAATCAATGAGTATCCTGCCTAGCCCATCACCCACATCAATGCTAAAGATATTAAATAATATGAGAACTAAGAATGACTCTTCTGGGGACCACTAGCTTGGTCTCTCTCAAGTTGACTCTGAGTTATTATACTCCTGGTGCAATCACCCTCTTCCTAAAGGTAGTGGCCCAATCCAGACCAGTCTCCCTAGTTGATTGATGAGCCCATCACCTGGGTCAGAATCAAAGTCTTATTAAAACTGATATAATAGATAACCTGACTGAATTGGTTCTTTCCTGATCCATGTGAGTTACTATCTAGCACTCTGAGATCTTCTAAGGATTTGCAAATTGACTTTTAAATGAATAGTTCCACTATCTTAACCAGTATCTGGATAAACTCCTTCATTCTCTATCTAGTTGTTCTTTTTGTCCTTTCTTAAAGGTGAATGCATTCTACATGACCCTTCCCTGTCCTCTATGAGTTCTTAAAAATGACAAGCCAAGATTATCTTTCTTCACAGAATGGTTTCAGGAACCATTCTGACAGTGGCTTGAGGTCAAATCAATCAATGTAGATTGGATTAGTTGATCAGTTTGACCGACAATTATCAATCATGAGGCAGTTACCATAATCAATGAGTATGCAGACAATGTCTGAGTGACCCACAAATGCTATTAGCCAATTTCCCAGATGCCTTAATATACATGTGACCAGTCCCCAGTAATCTTAAAAAAAATGTTCTTTTACATTTTCAAGGATTTTTTTCTCTGTCTTATTTTATTGTACCTTTTACAAACCTGTGGCAGCCACAATGGTTTCATGATTTGCAGATGCCTGGATCACATGATTTTAGTTAAAGTGAAAATGGGACAAGAATAAAAATCTAAAGGCCTTTGTTTTCCATAAATCATTGCTAAATATTTCTATTTAACAGGGCAGCAAGATTTTCATTAGTATTTCCATTTGGCTTTGACAAGTCAAAAGGAATTGTTATTTGATGTTTTGTTTTGTTTTTTTTCTGAAGTTACATATATATTTTTGGAACTGGTTTTCCTAATTTATTGGGGGGGTCACTTTTTATTTCTTACAAATTTAATATTGTGACAATTTTGAAGAAAACATCTAAGAAAAGAATATTTTTGAAATTTCTCATTAGAATTAAAATAGGAAAAGCATGCAATATTTTCAGAATGTTAATATTTATTCATTTACCTAAAAAGAGCAAGAGTAAAGTGGTTTTATGTCACAACTCAGAAACCCTACAGAAAGCAGGTCCTCAAAGACTTCATTTCATAAATAATGCATTTTATTTTATTGCATATGGCTATTAAGGAGAGCATCCATGATCAATACAGACTAAATACAATGCACTATTCTAGTTCCATTAATTCTTGTCTCCAGCAGCATCACATTTATCCTTATATACAGCGTGTACATTGGAAGACAGAGCAAGATAAGTTAAGTCTCTTGTCATATCACAATAGCAAGAAATATATTTAACATCTTGATATCCAGAAACAATACGTACCCAAAAAGAAAACACTGTTTAATAACTGTTAAAGTTTATATAGCAAAAAATAGTTTAAATTTAAGGTAAGTCAGGCAAAATGTACAAAGACCCAATATACATTGTGAAGTTTTAGCAAACATAACATTTATACATTTTGGTTCCATTCTGTAAACTAAATTAAAATGTAAATATTGCATATGCCTTTTGTGAAATGTACAGGATAGAGGAAAATTTAGTACATTGTCAACTTTTTTTTTGTTTTTTTGTTTTTTTGTTTTGTTTGTTTGTTTTTAAAGTTGCAGTGTGAATATGAACCATTTCCTATAGTGGCATGACTTTACTGTAAGTACAGAGGACTACTTCAAAATATAAGTCAATACACTATTGTATTCAGCAGGTTCCACATTCAGTGCTATTTTAGTTGGGGAATTATATAGCAAATATCACCCATCATCTTATTTCCGAAACTAAATAAAAATTTTAGAACATTTTATACCCTTTTAATAAAGCATATTATACACGGAAATTGACCTTCAAACTAGTATTGTATGGCCTATGCAGTGCTGCATTGTGAAATCCCAGAAAATTAAAACCTTAAAAATGTTCAGGGGGATTACTTTACATTCATCTTTGTCTTGTAATACAATCCTCTGTTCTAAAAGTTCAGCATGGAAGGAGGAAGACTTTTTGCATTGCCGTTAACTGGATTTGTAAGACATTTAATTTTTTGGTCTTCCTCAAATAAACCTCATTTGATTAATGCATTCTTTTACAGTGATGTAATAATATATATTTATTTTTTTCCCATAGCATGAAACTTTTCAAACGTTTCACATCTACACTGAATTAGTGTAATACATACATGACTATCAGAAGGCAGACAATGGGATTGTACCCATGGAGAAAAAAAGCATGTGAATTCTCCAATCCAATTTCTCAAAGGAGCAGCAAGACGACTAAGATTCTGCTGGTCTGGGTCAGCAGTTCTATGTGACGTCTGGGATATTTGCCACAATACTGGTATTTTCAGAACACTGAAAACATAAAACATGGGTAGTCTTGTCAAGACTTTTAGACAACTGACAAGTACTGCAATTTTTTCTCCTTTTTCCCTTAACGTCTGTGGCTGGAATGCCTCATTTTTCTTTTTGTACAAAGCAGCCATATTGGCTGGCATGATAGCATTATATTAGAGATAACATTTTTTATCTGCCAAACACCCATGACCACCCTTGCATTGCTAGCATGCCTATGTGGATTTTTGGTTATAAGAAATGCAAGCTCAATATTAGGGGTAGCAGAGAAGTTTGAGCTTGTAAATAGGATAAAAGGCTTTTGCAATTCGAAGTACCTACATAAACATCTACATAGAGAGGATTAAACAAGTCTGTCAAAGGTAAAAAGAGATACTCATCCCCTCCCCAAATCCCTTCCCACCCCATCCCACCCCTACTTCAACCCCTATAGAGTTTTATGATTTTTAACTTAGGTTGCTTTAGTTACACATTATAACTATTCTGCATCCATCTTCAAAGTCCAACATAAAGTTTTCATTTATTGAGACTGTTCATTTCCATATCAGGCTCTCTGTCTCTAAATAAACCCTACAGCTAGTGAACTGAGATCCAGCAAGCTGCTACATACTTGAATAAGTTCAATAAGGCTGATGACCATTCTTCAGAAACATTCAGCATAGAGATAGAAAGGAGGTCCTGCCGTACCCCAACAATACAAATCCGGCTTTACTTTGAACTGAGGTAGGACTGTGGTAGTTTTGAGAGTATACCAGTAAATACCAGATTTTACTGCTTTAGTGGGTGTTAACAGAATCTCCTAGCATGCTAAGGGATAAATACAGTTTGTCTTTATAAGGATGGGGAGGGGAGAGAAAAGAAATGAGGAGGAAGGGGAGAAGAAAACGAAGGCATTGGCCACCACTTCAGGTAGCCTGCTAAAAAGGTCGAGATTTCTATAGAATAGCTTCTTCAATTAACTTTCTCAAGCAGTAGCATGATGATAGATGCCAAAAACAGGAAACAAATGAGGCAGGTCATTTTCCTTTCTTTGATGATTCCTTGTCTTAATGTAGTCCATTATCATCTCAAAAGTGAAGTAACTGCCCAGATCAAAAAAGAAAAGTAAACCATAAGCAGCTTCAGATTAAGAAATGACAAATGCTGAGCAGTTTGTGTTGTTAATGTTATACTCCGGTATATGAGGTCATGGTGATCTAGCCAGATTTTTCACTCTGAAAAGAAAAAATAAATAAATAAAAGTGAGTAATGATCACCCCATGAAAAAAGAAGGCAGATTTTTAATGGCTCCACAGAAAGGCATGTCAAAAAGCATTTATCAAGTGCCTACTATATGCCTGACATTGTGCTTGATCTCAATGAGCTCACAGTCGAATATTTTCTTATATTGTCATTAGGTTCTATGGAATTCAGTTTCATGTAATTATCAACATATTTACAGGGCAAATTTTACAAATGACTATACAATTTCATAAAAATTAATTTATAAAATTTTACAAAATGTGTTAAATTTTATAAAAGCAAATTCAATGGGGAAAAAAACCACTGATATGTCAAGTCTGCAACGTGCTTTGGTATGTTGCCTCATTGGCTTCTTCCAAGAACCTTGGTGAGATAGGCACAAGAATTTATTATCTCTGCTCTATCGGTAACTGTGATGAAAAGGGATGGAGTGACTTGTCAGTGGCCATAGAGTTAAGAAAATACTAAAGCCAGGACTGGAAACTAGTTCTTCTGACTCCAAGCTCAGTTCTCTTTGCCCTAAATACTATACTGCCTCCATTCCTAAAGACCACTAGGAAAAAAAAAAAAAACTTTGATAAAAAAAAGAATCAGTAATACACACCAATGACATTAACCATCATTTGCATATTTTGTCTATCTCTGTAAATTCCAAATACTACACTTTATTTCTTGTTCTTTCCTAGGTGGAGATGGAGATATCCAGACAATTAAGATTCAATTTCTTTTCACTAAGTTTCCTCCCTTTCCACACTTGCTTTATCTTAGTTCTTTAATGGTTTTGCATGTCTTTTTTTCTCCCCAGGCCTTAATAAAATTTTGGCTTTATACCCTCCTCTAACTTTTTTACAATGAATTGGACACATAACTTAAGCTTCCAACTCATATTTTTACATGTGTATTATACCTTCCTGATGCTCTTTAATGTCACATTTTAATTGTTTAAAAATTCTCATGAAATGCCTTCTCTGGATCACAAAAATGGATACCATGGGTCCTGTTTATTTAAAAATAAAACTTAAGAAGCTTCCTGGGACACACTCAGGCCATGCCAAATTCCTAATGGACTATGTATAGGTTATAAGGTTATCACAGTCCTGTAAGTGTCTCCATCCTGATAAGATAGCCCAGGAAAGAACTAACCCCAAATTTCCATTCCAAGGAGGCTAGAAGAGTGTGGAGCTCAGGGTTGAGGTAGGGAAGGCAAGATCACAGAGAATTTGATTTCACAGTTTTATGTCTACCTCCAGGATGTCAAGTTGCATTACCCCTTGGGCTCACGCTAATGTTCTCACTGCCTTTTTCTACTGAAACCAAATTAAAAGTTTAACTTGTGCCAGGAAATGAAGTAGAAAGACATGTAAATAAGGTTTCTGGCCTCAAGGAGCTTATCATCTAATCAGAAAGTATAGAGCCTTGATTCTGTTGCCTTTGTTTGGAGAGTGAGGAAGGAACTGTCAGTGATTAATCACTTAATGTTCAAAGTATTTTTTTTTCCTACCATCAACCTAATCTTAGAAAACTTATTCTTCTGAAGGGTGGGGAGTCTGAGAAGTAGTTCTTCATATGAAAACATTATGAAGTTGGTAGAAGTGGTTGATAGAGACAAATTCATGCCCTTAATGAAGGACCAACCTGCTACTTCAACTAGGCCAATAAAGTCCAAGATTAGGCTAGAAAAGAAATTGGTAACCAGAACTTCAGGGAAAGTCAACCTGAGTTCATTAATTCCAAACAGGAAAAGCAGTTCAACAAGCTGGGAACCTTTTCCAAGGCACTAATCTGTACATAAAAGAATCCCTGAGGGCCACATTTTACTTTGTTTTGAAATGTAACATTATCAATATTTTATTTTATTTATATTTACTTTGTTAAATATTTCCCAATTACATTTTAATTTGGTTCAGCTGTACTCAGGAGTGTTGTGGGCCACCTTTGACACCTCTGGCTAAGACAAACTAGGGCCTACCTCTTCCTAAAAGCCTGGATAAAAGCAGGGTTAGCTTTAAACATCCTAGTAATTTTTGTAACCTTTGCTTTTGTTATGTTAAACTCTTTTATTTCCCAGTAGTAATCAGTAGATTAAAAACTCCTTAATTTCAAAGAGTAGGGAAGACAAGAAATACACATTATATGTCCTTGGTGGGGGGAAAAAACAAAGAGCAGAAAGAAGAATTAATGAAGGTTTCAGAAGAGAAGAGAAATGGGGCTAATGAGTCGACTTAGAGACCCTATATAAGTGCCTCAAAAGTGAAACGATAATAAAAGATTTAAACAGCAGTTCAAGACAACAATGGAAGAATGTCACAAGGCAGGTCATGATTAATGACCCAAATTGTACTGACAAAAATTGCTATTGCAGTCTAGAGGACAGACAGATGACTTCAGCTGGAGGTGGTCAGAGGAAGGTTTTACAGAGGGTATCTGGGATTGGAGAAGGGTCTTAGAGAATAGACAGGATTGGGATAGGCAAGAAGATAAAGACAGTTCCAAGTTAGGGGAGCAGTATGAAGAAAGGAACAGACACAGAAAACAATAAAGCAGGTACTTTCTAGGGACAGTAGGAGGAATAACTGTTCTCCAACAGAAAGCTGGTGAATGAGAATAACGGAAGGTAGGTTTATTGTTGGCCAGTCTTTTTCATTTGTGTCCAATTCTTTGCAACCCTGTTTGGGATTTTCTTGGCGAAGACACTGGAGTGGTTTGCCATTTCCTTCTTTAGCCCTTTTACAGATAAAGAAACTGAGACAAAGAGGGTTCAGTGACTTGCTCAGGGTTACACAGCTAGTGAGTGTCTGAGGTTAAATTTGAACTCAGGAAAATGGGTCTTCCTGACTCCTGGCCCAGCAATCTATCTGCTGTGCCACCAGCTGCTCAATGGGAAATAGGACTAATAGAAGGCTAGTATCTGACCATGTTAGCAGGTATTTTATCAGAGAAACTAGTTATTTCTTTTTGACGTGTTCTTTTGTGGACTTTTTAAAAAGTTTTGATTTTGGTCATCTTAGAGACAGCTCAGAGGCACACTGGCATAGTAGACAGAGTCAACCTTGAAATCACCTTGACAAGTCACAACCTCATAGTGACCTAGGCAACTCTCTTAGACTCTAAGTTTCAGGAAAAAGGAGTTTCAAACATGAATGACACGATGTGGAGAAAAAGAAAGGGAGCAGGCTAATAACAGATTATGAAGGACCTTGATTAAGGAGGTTGGAATTTATCCTGTTGGCAAATGGGAGCCACTGAAGATTTTTGTGCAGGTGAGCAGCATGGTAAAAACAGCATTAAAGGAAGATTAATTGAGCAATGTGTGTAGGAAAGAATGAAGGGGTGAGAAACTAGAGATAAAAGAGACAAGTTAGCAGATATTTTAGAAAGATAGCTAGGTGGCTCCATAGATAGAGTATTAGGTCTGGAGTCAGCTCTAGACCTGCATTCAAATCTGGCCCCAGACACTTACTAACTGTGTGACCCTGGACAAGTCATTCAATGCTCTCTGCCTCACTTTCCTCATCTGTAAAATGACCTGGAAAAAGAAATGTCAAACCACTCTAGTATCTCTGCCAAGAAAACCACAAATGGGGTCATGAAAGGTCAGATACAACTGAAAAAGTTAGAAAGACATTTGAAAACTTTGTTTATCTAGTAAAGCAGACTCCAAAGTGGAAATGTGACTTTTGTTTCCTGACAAATAAAAAATAAAAGTGAGAAAAAACAACCAACTCTACTGTTGCTTCAGAGATAGAGATCAAATCTATTAGATCTCATGTTCTTTAGAAATCCATGTTTCTACCAATCAGTGTGCCGTGCCTTCTTCAAACCAAACTGGCTTATTACTGGCTTGATACCAAAACAAGCGTTAGCAAACCCTCTCTACGATGGCACTACTGATAGAAGTAGCCAGCTTGAGAATGCTTACTGATACTCACGAAACATCAACAGAGTTTGCCATCAGAAACAATACTTGTTAACAGAGAGAGATGAAGGGTAGAAATTGAATGGCTGAAGATAGATTTCAATTCTGATAAAGATGACTCTTCGTTTCCTGAAATCTAACATGAGGATTTAGGAAGTATGGAAGCTTATTTATTAAACCCCAGAGATACTTCAATATGTCCCTCCTTCCAAATCTCTTTAATGCTTTTGGTTATCCTTTTCCCTGTGCCTGGAAAGAAGCCCTTCCTTCCTGGATCTTTGTTGCTTGATTTGAAATCCTTCCTTGATTAAGGCCAAATTTAGGTGTTACCTCTTTTCACAAGCTTGCCCGATCCCGTCAGCTGGAAATAATCTCTTAATTCCTTATGTCTCTCATAAATGATCTATATCCCTCCTATGTATTTTCTCTATTCTCATTTATTATTCTTTAACTTGTCATAATTGAGACTGTAAGCATTTTGGGTTAAGGGGCTATTTCATTTACCTTTGCATTCTCTACCCCCAAATACAGTATTGTCCATATGGAAGATGCTCTAATAAATAAATGTATGATCAATTGAAATCTCTGAGCTCACTTCAATTCAACAAATACTTATTAAGCTGCAACTATTCCAAGGCATAAAGCTAGGCACTAGGAAACAAAGAAAAAATACAGTAGCTCTTATTCTTAAGCTTGCAATATAAAGAGAGAAAGGGCATACACACAAGTTTGGTATGGGGTGTGAGAAAAGTAAAATGGAAAGATCTCAGCCAAGTGCTATAACAAATTTGAAGGAGGGATTATTTTTACTTCAGGGTAAGGGAAGAACAACAAAATTTCTATGGAGGCAGAAACTGCACTGTGTCTTGAAAAAAGAGGGAAACTTCAACAAATAGAGATGGAGCAAGGTAAGTCCACTAAAGACATAGAGGATCAGTGAACAAAGGCACTGATACTGGACAAGAGCTAGAAAGGATCTACAATCCATCCTGGATGAACACAGAATGCATGATGGGGAGTAGCATGAGATTATATATATGTGTGTGTGTGTGTGTG